TTTTCTTTTCTTTTTTTTTTTTTTAATTTTTTTTTTATGTTTTTATTTATTTCTGGGAGAGAGAGAGACAGTGTGAGCAGGGGAGGGTCAGAGAGAGAGGGAGTCACAGACTGAAACAGGCTCCAGGCTCTGAGCTGGCAGCCAGCACAGAGCCCGACATGGGGCTCGAACCCACGAACAGCAAGATCATGACCTAAGCGAAAGTCGGACGCTCAACCGACCAAGCCACCCAGGCACCCCTCAGTCCCCTTTTCTTTGGTCTCCTCTTTCCCAATCACCTCTGCCTCCCCACCTTCCTTCCCATATTTCACCCTGCAGTGTCCTGTGGTCCTTTGCGAAAGAGTCTGGGCCGGGGATTGAGGATGAGAAAAGCTGTGGGCTTCCTTGCCTAGGAGGAGGCTCCGATGCCAGGGTCCTGCAGGGGGTGGGCATGGGCCTGGGTCCTCCCTGCAGGAGTTACAGATGCTTCTGCTTGATCTACTCCACAGCAACACAGCAAACCAGGAAGGTGGGGCTGCAAAGAAAGAAGACTGGCTCCGTGTGTGCGGGAAAGCAAATAATAACGAACAGTGCATCACCCTGCTACCCCAGGGAAGACTTCGCCCCTCAGCACAGTCCTACATTTGACCCGTTCCTTTTTTTTTTTTTTTTATAAATAGTTTATTGTCAGGTTGGTTTCCATATAACACCCAGTGCTCATCCCCACAAGTGCCCTCCTCCATGCCCATCTCCCCCCTCCCCCCCCCACACCCATCAATCCTTAGTTTGTTCTCAGCATTCAAGAGTCTCTCATGATTTGCCTCCCTCCCTCTCCCCCACCATTTCCTCCTTCTTCTCCCCCATGGTCCTCCCTTAAGTTCCTCCTAATCCTCCTATACGTGCAAACATATGATATTTGTCCTTCTCTGCCTGACTTATTTCGCTCAGCATAACACCCTCAAGGTCCATCCATGTTGCTACACATGGCCAGATTTCATTGTTTCTCATTGCCATGTAGTATTCCATGGTATAGATAAACCACATCTTCTTGATCCATTCGTCCGTTGATGGACACTTAGGCTCTTTCCAGGATTTGGCTATTGTGGAGAGTGCTGCTATGGACATTGGGGTACATGTACCCCTATGCATCAGCACTCCTGTATCCCTTGAGTAAATTCCTAGCAGTGCTATTGCTGTGACCGTTCCTTGAATACAGAAAGGAACAGGCTGGTGTTCCAGAGGGAACCTAGGGCTTCCCTTGCAGCCGAGGCTCCAGATGGAAACTGCCCCCCACTGCCAGCCAGCTCTCAGGTGTCTGTCACATGAAAATCACTTGGGCAGGAAGTTCTCATCTCCGTCAGCAGGGAGTGGGATGAGAAGCAGTAAAGCCCCAGAGAAAAAGCCACTGACCTGCGAGCAGACTGAACTTTTCCTTGGGAATCTTATTCACTCTTTTCCCATCCCAGCGACAAGCGGAGCACTCATTCCCCCGAGGCAGGCGGATGTCGCTCACCTCAGCCTCTCGGTTCCTTCTGTTCTTTTCCTCTCCTCAAAGTCTGTCTCCCGAATTCTTTTTCTAATCATCTTCTTTCCTTTCTAGGATGTAAGGCCTTTGGTAAAAGTCCTTGTGGCCTCTTCATTTCCCCTCTTGGTTGTCATCTCCTTTCTGTTCATAGGCTTCAGTGGCTGCCTTTTGGTGGGGGCAGGGGGGGAAGGCAATTATTTAAAAAATATTTCCTAGGGGCGCCTGGGTGGCTCAGTCAGTTAAGTGTCTGACTTCAGCTCAGGTCATGATCTCACGGCTCATGGGTTCAAGCCCCGTGTCAGGCTCTGTGCTGATAGCTCAGAGCCTGGAGTCTGCTTCTGTCTGTCTGTCTCTCTCTCAAAGTAAACGTTAAAATTTTTTTAAGTTAAAATAAAAATAAAATAAAATAAAACTTATTTCCTAAGTGCCTAGTATGTTGCAGACAGTGTTGCAGGCACTGGAAATACTCAGTGAAGAGATACAAAGTTGTCCTCATCAAGCTTACATTTTAGGCAGAGAAATCTACTAATAAGAAAGAAAGAAAAAAAGAAAGAAAGAAAGAGAAAATATATACTGTGCCAAATAAAAATACTATAGATAAAGAGGAAAGCAATGTAAGGGTAACAGGGCAGTCCAGGGGTATAGGGAATTGCCAATTTGTATTAGAGTGGCCAGGAAAGGCCTCACCGATTCAGTGACATTTGGGCAGAAACCTGAAAGAAAGGAAAAATGAGCCATGTAGATGTCTGAGAAAAGATGGTTCTAGGCAGAGGCTGGCAGAGTAAAATGTTTCTCCAGGAGCTCCCTACTGCCTTAATGCTAACGCTTTGCTAGAAGGAAAAGCAGCCTTAGCTTGACATCAGCTAGGCCTCCAGTCCTCCAGAAATCCTCTTTTGCATATGGAAATCACTTTAAGAAATTTCCTCTTGGGGCTCCGGGATGGCTCAGTCGGTGAACCATCCAACTTCAACTCAGGTCATGATCTCCGGGTTCGAGTTCGTGAGTTTGAGCCTCTCGTCGGGCTCTGAGCTGACATCTCAGAGCCCGGAGTCTGCTTCAGATGCTGTGTCTCCTTCTCTCTCTGCCCCTTCGCCACTCATTCTCTCTCTCTCAAAAATAAATAAATGTTAAAAAAAAGAAAAAAAAGAAGCTTTCTCTTGACTCTACCTCCCGCAACTCCGCAGTATGTAAGCAGTCTCTCTTCACATCCCCAGAGCAGCTCTTTCTGCCCATGGGTCCTGTCCGCGTGCTTTAATAAAATCACCTCTTTGGCACCAAAGACACCTTGAAGTGTCTTAGCTGTCGGCTCCAAACCTCCACCCCACTCCAAAATCCCATGAAGGTCATGAACACCAGGAGACAAGGGTCACTGGGGGGCCATTCTGGAGACTGGCACCACTGAGTTGTTACTTTCATGCTGGAGGCCCCTCAAGAGCTCAGCAATTAAAAGATGGGCCGGCCCTTCCTTTAAAAGGAACCCAAGCCACATATTTTGGGTTATTGTTCGTACTACTTTTGAATGTGGTGCAATTATGCAATTCAGTTCGTTTACCTTGTATGTCAGCAAAGGAGCCACAAGAAGATATCACAGTGTAAGGATTTGGAACAGCACAAAGAAAGAAAGCCTTACTAGAGATGAGTTTTCAAACTGGTAATTTCTGCTTCTAGCATGCAGCAGAAGGGCTTATCGTGCTAAGATATGGATTATAACAATGGATATTTTTCACAAGGAGGACCTAGCAAATTTTGAAAAGCTCACACTCTGATTACAGTCCACTCTTTCGACAAGATAGACTGGAATCAAATGCTTCTTTTTACTCGTGCTTTTCTGACAAGTGAATTGCTCAGAGTTCTTCTAAAGAGTCCTCGCAATTTATCTGCACCTCCTTTAGAGCAAATTTACCTTTACTCCTTGGGTTGTGTTGATATACATGTCTAATTTATTCTCTCAGCTCCAAGTTGCTTGAAATCAGAGTTTGTTTCTATTTTATGTCTTCCCTCTATTCAAGCCGAAGTTCTCTGCCCACTGTTTTCCCCACTTTCTCTTCCTTTTTAAAAAAATTTTTAATGTTTATTTATTTTGAGAGAGAGAGTGTGTGTATGAGCAGGGGAGGGGCAGAGAGAGAGGGAGAGAATTCCAAGTAGGCTCCAGCGCAGAACCTGATGAAGGGCTGAACCCACAAAAAGTGAGATCGTGACCCCAGCCAAAATCAAGAGCTCAGTGTTTAACCGACTAAGCCACTCGTGTACCCCTCTCTTCCTTTTATATGAGCAGATAAATGGCTGTGCTCATTGCCTTGAAAGAAGCCTGTGAGTTTTCTTTGATTTTTGTATTTCAAGAGCCCAAGCTCTTACATTAGTATTGACTTTACACATAGAGAAAAACGCTTGTTAGAAATCGTGGGGTAATGCAGAGTTCTCCCTACTCCAGAACCCAAAAGGGCCACGTAGACAGAAATAAGGTACATCTCCGCCGCCATCAGACAAGGTGATGACCCAGGATGCTGAAGAGCAGATGGGTCCTAAGCCTCATCCACCTTGCACTACACGAGCCACCCGACCTGCCTGGGAACGGAGACAAACGGAAGGAAAAGGAGACAGGGGCAAATTGAAATTGAATTCCGCCACCGCATCTGAATGGAGCTTGAAACACGTAAAGTTGAGGGGCGCCTGGGTGGCTCAGTCGGCTAAGCATCTGACCTCGGCTCAGGTCATGATCTCACGGTTCGTGGGCTCGGGCCCCACATCGGGCTCTGTGCTGACAGCTCGGAGCCTGGAGCCTGCCTTGGATTCTGTGTCTCCCTCTCTCTCTGCCCCTCCCCTGCTCATGCTCTGTCTCTCTCTGTCTCAAGAATAAATTTTTTAAAAAACATTAAAAATTTTTTTAAAAAAGGAATAGATAAAGTTGAATTACAGAAAAATAGGGAAGGCTACATTTATTGCACACCTTAGTGTGTGGATGGATATTGCTTTTGGCTACATCTGTTACTTAGTAAACCTTTATTAAATGGGCAAAAGAGTGACTATATAAAAAGTAAACATTTGTAGAAGGTCCACGTTCGCCCAGGGCAGATGCAGTTTGATGAGGCGGTCACAGGCAAGGCGGACTAAGGGGCACCGAGGCTGGGCTTCCAGAATTTTGACAGTTCGGATCACAGGCAAGGCTGGAGCTGTGGCAAACCCTTTCCTGCAGTAACTGGTTTATTCCCCTGGGGCTGCCCTCTAGGAGAAGCGTAGGCTGGGCCTCATTCTCCTGAGGTTCCCAGAGGTGAGGGGCGCGCCTCCACAAGGTAAAGGCCCAGTCGCAGCTTCAGGAAACGTTCGCGAAGGCGCTTAGCGTCGGCCCGAAGAGCAGCGAGCCCAGCTGAACGGCTCACGCTCCAGGCTGCGCTCGCACACCTAATTCCTGCGCTCAGCTCTAGACCCGCCCCTTCTGGGCCCGCCTCCTCGGGCCTCCACGATTGGTTCCCCCTCCACTTCCGGTGTCTGGACCCGAGCGCTCTCGGTTTCCGGTGTCATGGCGGCTTGAGGTCTCAGCAGTCGGCGAGGCGGCGGCAGGCCCCTCCCTGCGGAGCCGCTGGTCCGGCAGGCGGGGATGTGACCGCGGGCCCTGCCGGCCTGCCCCGGGCGTCGCCTCAGCTCCCGTGCCAGCGCCCTCCGTCCGCACCGATGGCGGGGTCCGGCTGCGCGTGGGGCGCGGAGCCGCCGCGGTTTCTGGAAGCCTTCGGGCGGCTGTGGCAGGTACAGAGCCGCCTGGGGAGCGGCTCCTCGGCCTCGGTGTATCGGGTGCGCTGCTGCGGCACCCCCGGCTCGCCCCCCGGCGCCCTCAAGCAGTTCCTGCCGCCGGGAACCACCGGCGCTGCGGCCTCGGCCGCCGAGTACGGTTTCCGCAAAGAGAGGGCGGCGCTGGAGCAGCTGCAGGGTCACAGGAACATCGGTAATTGCCGCCGCCTTCCTTCCCTTCTTGCCCAGCTCCCCGCCCGGCCGTACACCTCCCCCTCCCCGCCCCCCACCTCGGCCTGGCGTTCCCCTTCCGTCCTTAAGGCGGGAGACATGGGTCAGGCCGTCTCGTCCCCCGATCCTGGCCCTTTTCCCATCCCCCTTCACCCGGTCTGCGGTAGGGTGGAGTTGGTGGTCGGCTTAGCCCCGTGTCACGTAATAGATGCTCAGTTAAGATCCGCTTTGCTCCGGGTCTCATCAGAAAATGTTGCACTCACGTTAGCACAGAGCTACCTTTTCTAGCGAAAGGAGGCACATCTTTGCTAGATTTCTCATGTCTTGTATGGACATTTTTGAGTCTTCCGGTACCCGTGCAAAATGAGAAACACTTCTAGGGCTTGGGATAATTAAGGGCTAGAAGCCCTTCTAGGGCTGTTAACTCACACAGATGTTACCTGGTGCATATTTAGTATGGATTTGGGAGAAGTGACTCAGTATTAACATAGGATCCCTTATGGGAAGTAGGAAAATTAGTATATTTTGACCCTAGTAGGTCTGTGTTACACGATACTCTGTGTTCAGAGTAGAAGGTATATAATGATTACTGATCATTGATTTGTGAAAAGAACCTTCGCTGCCCTTACGTTAACAGAGTGTATGTAGTCAGTTATAGCTTGGCTAATAGATAATGTCTTACTTCCTGGCACGCATAATCTATATGTAATCTGAAGAGTGACCTTTTTCATATTACCATTTTGGAGAAGATTTTCTTCATCAATAGTGTTGCCTCTTTTTTCTTTTTTTTAAAGCTTTCTAGATGATGTACGTAACCCTGATATTTGAGGGAAATTTTTTTTGCAGTTTTCACAAGCCTAAGGACTTGTTGAATTTTTACGAGATTAGATTAAATTGTCATCTTGAAGGTCTTAATCGCTTTTAATATTTATTTGTTTTTTCAGTCTTTACTATTTAGATTATAGAGTGCTCTGTTGCAGTCTAATGCTCTACCCCTGACCTGTACTCCCTAGAGTGCTGTTTTGGATCAAGAACGAGTCTGCAATTTTGTTTTCACATGGCGTGGCACTAAGAGTCCCTAATATTTGGATTTTACTTGTGATCATTCTGGCTGGGTACCGTGAGTGCGTGTTCACCCATCACTGACCACTTAGCGATACTCACTTTGAATTATCGTGGCATCTTTAATATCTTTGACCACTGATGAACTGTTGGAGATTTTCTCATTTTAAAATAACCCAGTTGCCCCCCCCCCCCCCCAGTCTTACTTTTGGGAAAAAGAAATTGCAGTGGAAGCTTCACTGCTCATCTGAGTTGTCCTTCTCTAGAGTTTCCCAAAGTCGTGCTGCGGTGATCTGTGCTGTAGCGTGTTCAGAGCCGGGTTTTACATTATAACTCGTTTCCTTTTTCCTAGTGACTTTGTACGGGGTCTTTACAATCCACTTCTCTCCAAATGTGCCCTCACGCTGTCTGCTGCTCGAACTCCTGGATGTCAGCGTCTCGGAATTGCTTCTGTATTCCAGTCATCAGGGCTGCTCTATGTGGATGATACAGCACTGTGCCAGGGATGTCCTGGAGGCCCTGGCTTTTCTCCATCACGAGGGGTATGTCCACGCAGACCTCAAACCACGCAACATACTGTGGAGCGCAGAGAATGAATGTTTTAAACTCATTGACTTTGGACTTAGCTTCAAAGAAGGCAATCAGGTAAGAAATACTTTAAAAACAGGAGCGCTTTGGTAGACACTTAGGGTATTTCTTTTTCTTTTCTTTAAGAAAAAAATTTTTTAAGTTTATTTATTTGTTTTGAGAGAGAGAGAGTCAGTGGGGGAGGGGAAGAGAGGTGGGGAGAGAGAGAATCCCAAGCCGGCTTTGCATTATAAGTGCAGAGCCCCGCGCAGGGCTAGAACCCACGAAACTGTGAGATCATGACCTGAGCCGAAACCGAGTTGGAGGCTTAACCAACTAAGCCACCCAGGTGCCCCGACCCTTAGAGATATTTCTGTCTAGAATACTAAATGGGGGTGTGGGGCTGGATGGTTCAGTTGGTTAAGTGTCCAACTTCAGATCAGGTCATGATCTTGTAGTTTGTGAGTTCGAGCCCCACATCAGGCACTGTGCTGACAGCTGAGAGCCTGGAACCTGCTTCGGATTCTGTGTCTCCCCCTCTCTCTACCCCTTTGCCTCATACACTCTGTGTCTCTCTCAAAAATAAATAAGCATTAAAATTTTTTTTAAGTAATAAAATACTAAGTGGTTTGGGGTGAAGCACATAAAAGGAATTTCGTTGCCACCATGTACGAAAAGGATGTGTGTCTGCGCGTTAGGTAGCGCAGCTAATGAAGAGGTCGTTACTTTTACTGGCATCTCCAGTGTCGGGGCTCTGTCTCATGGCAGAAGGCGTGTGGCAGTTCTGGCAAACTCTCCGTTCTCTACAGTTCATCAGCTCTTTGCAGAGTGTCCGTGTTTATCAGCAGTGCCCAACAGGCACGCGATTATCTGAAGGAACGAGCAGCTGTATGGAAAGCGTGTGGTTTGCCTGTGAGAACTGCCCAGTTAATGAGCCAACTAACTAGGGTAGCCAAGGACTAAAAATTCATTGGCATTCGGTTTGGCAGTGGCTTATTACACGTTTAGAGAAGTAAATACATCGTAGGGATGGAAGCCAAGGGAACAGTGTTTTATTGGTTGTATATTCACTCCTCTTCTTCAGGACGTGAAGTATATTCAGACGGACGGGTACCGGGCCCCAGAAGCAGAGCTGCAGAACTGCTTGGCCCAGGCCGGCCTGCAGAGCGACACGGAGTGCACCTCAGCCGTGGACCTCTGGAGCCTCGGAATCATTTTACTGGAAATGTTCTCAGGAATGAAACTGAAACACACAGTCAGATCTCAGGAATGGAAGGTAAACTGCGCCGGTGCTTTCGTCCAGCATCCTTCATTCCCATTTAAAAGTGCTCAGTTTATATGAGTCTCACTGGGGGCTCTGCTTCATCCCTAACATACTCCTCTTCCTGTGCTTCTGGCGCCTTTGGTGGCCCTATTTATTTGCATCACTCCAGGGGGCTTGTGAGTATTGCATGCTTCCTGATCTTAGCCCAGGGCCTGGTGTGCAGGAAAGGGCCGGATAGTATGAACACAAGCATTTTTCCAAAAAGGCACAAGGGATTTCCTTTGTTTAGTAATTTAGTTACGTTACATCCTAAGCTATTACTAACACAACGGTACACTGTAAGTTAAATGATGTTTACGTAAAGCTTTGTAGTTAATGCTTCGTAGTAGTTTAATGCACAGCCTCACTGAATTTCTTAACAATTCTGTGCAGGTCATTAGCAAGTGTATTGGTCATTCTGTCACAGATGACAAACTGGATGCATAGACAGATTAACCACTTGCTCCAGATCGTATGCCTGGATGTTCAGAGCTGGGCCCCATACTCTTCATCCCACGCAGAGGGTAGTGTTCCACAGTGCTTTACGTTTACGTACATTCCATAGATGAGCTATGCTGGTAAAGTGAGTGCTGCTTAGAGCATTGTTTTTGTGGGGACGGGAGTTCTAAGTTCCAGATCTTTGACATAAGAATGGACTTACTGTATGTTCATAACTTAGGAATTAGCTGTGTTTTCAGACGTACTGTGGGGCTGCCGTGTTGAGATGATACCATTCCTCTTTAGGCTAGAGGTTTGGCAAATTATACCCTGTTGAGGAATCGTTGGTTTTGTTCTTAAGCAATCAGTATGTGGTTTTGATCTTAAGCAACAAGTATTTTTTGAGTATCTAGGAGTGTATCGTTTGTGAAGGGCTCTTGTACTAGAAAGGGTCTTAGTTCTTCTCAACCCCTAGTCCTCTATTTCTGGCAGTATTCCTGGAAGGTACGTTTTCACCTGTAGGGGTTACTTTTGGCACAAAATACTGCCATGCAAGTAAAACCCGGGTCCTTGCTGCACATCGTACTTTCAGACCGTCAGGAGGCCCGGTAGTCTTTGTTCAGTGCTGACCCAAATACACATCCGTTACCTGCGTTAGTTTTGACACTTTTTGAGACTTTGGACTATATCTGCTTGGCCCAGAGCCTATCAGAACTAGGTCGCATTCAGGCATTTTGTATGTAATTTGGAGGCATGATGTGCATTAGTGAAAACCCCCTTTCTCCCTTCTAAATATAAACAGGTTTTTTTGTATTTTAATCACCTTCTGTGGAGGCAAAACTGCCAAGTGAGTATGAGCCTAGGGTCTGAAGTCAAACCGTTCGCATCTTGCCTCCTCCGCTAAGTGAGTTATTCAGGGCAACTGAGTCACGGCAGACTTGCTGTCAGTCGAGGATAAAAGCGTTTTTCTCACAGAAGTATTGAGGTTAAAGAGTAAATGATACCAGTTCTTAGCATAGCATGTGGCCTGGAGTAAGTACTGAAAATTTCAGCCATCAGGATGGCATCAGGTATGTTGACTCGTGTACACGTGCACGTTCTGCGGAAGCGTGGTACTCGGGGAGGAAATGTTATGTTCCCCAGGATTCAAGGTCTGAATGTGGCAGATGCAGATTTTAAACTACTACGTTGCTTTCTTTTGATAGTTGATTTGTATCTGAAAACCACTCAAAGCCTCCTCACTAAGACACCCCAACTCAGCTGTCACGCCTCCACTGTCTCGCTGGGTCTCAGACCCTGTTTCTGCGTGGCTGCTCGGGCATTTGTTCCTACTTTTTCACCTGGTAAATAGTCCTCGAGCGCGCCAGGCACTGTGGTAGGTGCTGAGGGTAGAGAACGAAACGTTCCTCCTCCAGAAGCTCTATGTTCCGCACATTCAGATCGTAAACTCTCGGAAGAGAGGGTTTCCTGTTGCGTTTTACCTACCAAGGAGCACAGTGCTGTGTGCCTGGTACTCGGCAAATACCGACTGAACCGAATAACCAAAGGAAGACTTCTCTCCCTTTTTTTAGGCAAACAGTTCTGCTATTATTGATCACATATTTGCCAGTAAAGCAGTGGTGAATGCCGCAATTCCAGCCTATCACCTAAGAGACCTTATCAAAAGGTACATTACGTGTACTTTAAAGTTCCTGTGTGTACATGTACTGTATGAATGTGGGCTTTGTTTGTTTGCCTGTTTGTTTTTACTGACTGCGTTTCCGTTACTTCTGGTGATCGCGTAGAGGCCCTTCCCCGCAGCTGTATGTCTGTCCGCCTGTAGCTCTGGCCGTCCTGCGTGCCTGATGGGAATTAGGGTTTTGGTTGTTTTTTGTTTATTTCTTTTAGGGTCTTTTTGAAGGTAGGTTTTTAAAGAGAGTGTTTATTAACTAAAGACTGAGCTTGCTTTTGGACTACCAAGAAGAGTTTAAAATAAGGCAGCCATGCTTTATGCTTTAAAGAATTACTGTGGAAAACTCTGGGGACAGAAATACTGTTTTTGTTTCCTGAGTGGGTCCAACCACATTAGATATTTTAAAATAAGACATCATGTATATTAACAAATAGTTAACTTTTCACATTTCTCTCATTATGGGCCGGAAATAAATAAATTAATTATTATGTTGCCAAAGGGTAGATCTCTAGATCAAGCCAGCATTCTTTCTTTGGAATATTGACCCTACAGTCTTCCAAGTAGGTTTTTGTTTTGTTTTGTTTTGTTTTGTTTACAGCTTTTTATTTTGAAGTAATTAGGGATTTAAAGGAAGTTGCAAAAATGTTACAGAGAGGCCTGTGCACTCTTCACCCAGTTTCCCCCAGTGGTAACATCTTACATAACTGTAATACAATATCAGAACCACGAAATGAACATCAGAAGCCACAGAATTTACCCAGAAAAGAACGTACAGTTTTACTTGCACTTATTTGTGTATGTGTGTGTTTTACAAATTGGTTTTGAATAGCTGTTACTGTCGGATTGGTATCAGATTTACAAGTTGCGTTTTACAGAGAAAAGATGGCATTGTGAGATTATGTGACAGGTTCTAACTTGGAAGTCAGATCATGTAAGTTCTGGTATTGACTTTGGGATTTTATTTTTTCCCCTTGATTGTACAACAAGCCAGTACTAAATTTGGAAGCTACAGAGAATTGGGATCAGCAAAATAAAAATTATAAACCTGCTCTCTAGTGTTACCACTTGGTGTATTTCTTTTCGGCATTTTCCCACATATTTTGCCATGTACATATGCAGATCATTTGAACCTTTTTTTTGTTGTAGAGTAAAACACAGACACTGAAAACAACTGTGTAACTTAATGAATCCTTAGGAAAACTGTTGCATCTGTCACTAAGGTCAAGAAACAGAACTTTGCTGGCTACCCCAGAAATCTCCTGTGTCTCCATCCTAATCTTAAACCCTTCTGCCTCCTTGAAAGTGGCCACTACCCTGACCTTTATGGCAGTTACTTCCTTGTTTTCCTTATAGTGTGTATCTTAACACACCATGCTTTAACGCTGGTCCTCTAAAACAAAGAAATCCCTTTTAAGTTTCTTTTAATCTGAAAGGCCCTTTTCCATCTCTTACCCCGCTTTCCCCTTATTTACTCGTTGTTCCCTTATTTATTGGGTTGTTGGCCTGGTATAGCTGTCCACCGTCTGAATTTTGCTGACCGCGTTAACCCTGGTATCATTTAATGTATTTCCATTTATTTCTTCTAAATCGGTAGTTGTATCTGGAGCATTGACGGTTGGGGGGGCGGGGTTGGAGGAAAGACTACAGATGGTATCGTGTTCTCTCATGAAGGAGGCATGTAGTGTAGCTATCTCTAGTTTATGTCTTAGTAACTGTTAATATCCGGTGCTTGGATCCATTACTTTCTTAGGGTTTGTAGAACAGTGAAATTCTTATTCTGTCTTTCGTGCTTTGTTTGGTTAATCAAAGACAAAGTAAATGCTTGATTTCTCTATTTACTAGTTTTCATAATGTGTTGATTCCCAGTCATCCTCCAAAGGGGATCATTCCCTGTGGAAAGTTCAACGTATCGCTATTTGGTAACTGCAACTCATTGCAGTTCTTATCCTAATTGAAGCTAAAATTGGCCCATCTTTGCTGAATGTCGGCCAGCAGAAGTTGGTTTGTGCAGACCCTATTACCTTTTTTTTTTCAATTTTTTTAAATGTTTATTTGTATTAAAGAGAGAGAATGTGTGAGCAGGGGACGGGCAGAGAGAGACGGAGACAGAATCCGAAGCAGGCTCCAGGCTCTGAACTGTCAGCACAGAGCACAGTATGGGGTTTGAACTCACGAACCGCAAGATCATGACCTGAGGCGAAGTCAGATGCTTAACCGACTGAGCCACCCAGGTGCCTGGACCTTTTTATAGCTTCCTTGCTATCTGGTGTGACAAGGTATTTCCATTTCATCTTACACATTTCCTGCCTCAGACCTGGAAATAGCCACTTCTCTGAGAAGCCTGTTCTTTTAGTAGGAAGTAGGATTTTAGAACCACAATCTGAGTTTTAGGAATATTCCTTGCTAGGGGTGTCTGGAGGCTCAGCCAGTTAAGCATCTGACTTCTGCTTAGGTCATGATCTTGCAGTTCATAAGTTCAAGCCCTGCATCTGGCTCACTGCTGTCAGTGCAGAGCCTGCTTTGGATCCTCTGTTCCCCTCTCTCTCTGCCCCTTCCCCCGGGGGCTGGTTCTCTTTCTGTGTCTCTCAAAGTAAATAAATACTTAAAAAATCATATAGGAATACTCATTGCTACTGGGATGGTCATTGTTTCTAGGCCTTTTAAATGGACAGAGTTCGTACTGATATTCCCAATTCAGATTCAAGACCACAGAGTTTTTGTTTAACTTTTATTACACATCTTTCTCCTGTGTCAGGAATTCTGGTTCTTAAGGACAAGGGGAATGTTAGAATGTTTTATACTTGCTCATTTGCTTTATTCCCCCTTACATTAAATCAGTCGCAGAATTAAGTTTCAGGATAATAATGCTCTAGGAAGATTACTGAAAATGGTTATTTTTGCATGTGCTTTTCCCATTCTTCCCCCAATTGAAAAAATAGTTGTATCTGGGGGCGACTGGCTGGCTCAGTCAGTTAAGCATACGGCTCTTGATTTTGGCTCAGTCATGATCTCAGGTTTGTGAGTTCGAGCCCCGCGTCAGGGTCAGCACTGATGGCGAGGGGCCTGCTTGGGGTTCTCTGTCTCTGTCTGCCCCTCTTTTGTTTGTGTGTGTGCTCTCTCTCAAAAAATAATAAATAATTAGAATATAATATTGTGTCATAGGTATATATCATGAGTTCTTGAACCACTTACTGATAAATAGCATTTATCTATTTTGTGGATGACTGATCCAGTAGCCAGGCTAACATAATTAGTGTTTGTGATGAACATTTAGACATTTTAATTTTCCTCAGTGGCTCCATTTTCACACGGTTTGACGATAGTTACAGAGATGCCTGTTTGTGTGTTTAGCATGCTCCATGACGACCCGGGCAGAAGAATCCCGGCTGAGATGGCATTGTGCAGTCCGTTCTTCAGCATTCCTTTCGGTAAGTTGAATGCGTCCTCTTTTCCTCCTTGGTCATTTGACGATCAGATAAAACATCAGAACCCACTTACGTTCTGTCTCCGTGCTGCTCTGCCTAGTGTGCATCCGTGCATTTGGGCGAGTGTATATCTAACCATGTTGTGATGAACCTTCACAGCCCCTCATATTGAAGATCTGGTGATGCTCCCCACTCCAGTGCTGAGACTCCTGAATGTGCTGGACGATGACTATCTCGAGAACGAAGAGGAATATGAAGGTAACTGCTCCCTAAGTTACATTTTAATTTTTTTCATGTCTTTTTTTTTTTTAAACTCTATTATTTATTTGTCTATTTTGAGAGAGAGGAAGAGCACAAACAGGGGAGGAGCAGAGAGATTGAAAATCCCAAGCAGGCCCTGTGCAATCACCGCAGAGCCCGACGCAGGGCTTGCTTGAACCCATGAACCATGAGATCGTGACCTGAGCCGAAATCAAGAGTCAGATGCTTAGCCTACTGAGCCACCCAGGCACCCCTGCAAGAGACATTTATATCAACAGATGATTATGGTTTTTGATAAATTGGAATGTAGGGAAGGTAGAGTAATGTACAAAGGCAGAGAGGGGACTACTTAACTCAGGTTCAGGGCCCCATAAGGGAGTCTCTTTGGACGTGTGATGTCTGAGCCGGGTTAACTGGAGCTGCTTGGCTAGGAGTTGAGGGCAACTCATGTTGCAGAAGTGGCCCAAAGGTACAGAGATGAGAGAAAATGTGGCCTTTTCTGAAAACGGCAAACTGTTTGCTGTGGTTGTGTCTTAGGGTATTTATTGGGGAGCGGTCAGGTAAGGCTGAAGAAATAGCCGGGAATACAGATCTGTAACAAACTCATTTGCTGTGTTAAAGAATGTGGGTTTTATCCCAGAGATGGCAGCACTGGAATATGACGCAAGAGAACCTGCGCGTCAGGGATAGAACAGACCCTGGCTGTGGTATAAGTGCTCAACGAATATTCGTTCTTGGTTGAATACAAGAAAGAGCCATTAAAAAGTTAAAATAGGGAAGTGACCTAATCAGACTTGGGTCTTAAGAGTGTTCTGGAAGCAGAGTGGTGAATGGGCTAGGGCAGAACCAAATTTAAAAGTACCTGTTGTTTCATATTGAACATTTTCTTTGTGGGAAATTAAACGATTACAGGTCAAGCTAACTTGATCATGCTTTGTCTGTAAGGATAGGTTAGTTTACGTCCCAGGGCTTTATGTCGTTATTTGACCAGTGACACACGCATGATTTCTTCGAATCGGTGGTAGTTGTGAGAATCTGCGGCCTCGGCTGGGCAGGGCTCCTGTCTATGGGACGGAACAGTCTTGTCTTCAACACTGTTTTAATCAGGTCATTATGATACCAGGGGTTCTGAATAATCCCTTGGCAGTACCGCTTACGGCCTTCATGCCGATCTACTTACTGTCTCACTGTCACCTAATTCTGTCCACCGGTAATTGTTATCTCTAAAACTCGAGAAAGCGTGGGCTTTCTCGAATCGGTTTTGGGCATATTATGCCTGCTATTTTCTTTGTATCGTGTTGTACAACACTTGTTTTCTGCTTCTAAATAAATCGAATGTTGCTATTAAATCTTAGTGTTTAAGAATCTTTTAAGAACTGAAGTGCCACAGACAATATAGTAGCATTAAATGCCTTTGTTAGCTCTGATCAGCAAGGTGGTCATCAGGCAATGCTTACCAGAGTTAGGGAAATTTGCTTAGCTGGAAATCCTATGTATTGTATTCGGACAGCTGTCTTGGAATCTGGGTGGTGGTGGGGCAGGAAGTTGGATTTAAACCTTCCACTTTAGACCAAAATAAACTCCAAATCAAGATGAAGATTGAGGTTCCAAATAAAGAGAATAAAGGGAAAAAGTTTTGTTTTAACTTCTAGCTCGCAACAGACGGAGCTCTTACAAGTCAGCCCAGTAAGTAGTGGGTAAAGGATGTAGATGGACAGTTTATAGAAAAGGATATGCAAGTATGTCTCATATATTTCATTCTCATTTACTGAAATGCTTATTGAACCCACATGGTGAGGGCATCCAGGTGGCTCAGTCGTTAAGCTGCTGACTTGGGCTCAGGTCATGATCTCATGGTTTGTGAGTTGGAGCCCCACGTTGGATGAAGGCGAGCCCCACTTTGGGTGAGCCTCCCTTCTCTGTCTCCCTCCCTCTGTCTCTCTCAAACAAAACAAAAAACACACACAGTGAGATCTTTGTTACCTAATGCTTTGACTGTGAAGAAAATAATAACTCTCTTATGGGTAGAGTACAGGAAAATACTTTTTATACACCATTGGAGAGAGTTTAAATTGCTGAACTTTTATGAGACAGATTGGTAATTCTTTTTTCTGTAATGTTTATTTATCTATTTTGAGAGAGAGCCTGAGGATGCAAAGAGAGAGAGAAAGAGAGAATCCCAAGCAGGCTCCACACTCTCAGCACAGAGCCCTACGCGGGGCTCAATCTCATGAACTATGAGATCATGACCTGAGCTGAAATCAAGAGTCAGATGCTCAACTGACTGAGCCCCCCAGGCGCCCCTGCCGATTGGTAATTCTCACAGAATTGTAAATTCATATTCATTCTGATCTAGCAGCCCCACTTCTAGCGTCAACTTGGAAACACACAAGTGAAATGAGATAGGTACACATTTATCTATCACCGTATTGTTTATAATGGCAAAAAACTTGGAAGTGGTTTAATTACTTAGTAGGGAACATATTAGAGAATCTGTTGACTACTCCTACAGTGAAAATGGACGTGGCCATAAAAACAAATGAGAAGATTTCATGTGGTGATGTTGAAGGATCTTAACCAACTGAGCCACCCAGGCACCCTTTGTTATTGAAGGATCTTAAAGATACAGTGTTGATAAAGAAAAGGCAAGGGGGTACCTGGGTGGGTCAGTCAGTTAAGTGTCTGACTCTTGGTTTCGGCTCAGGTCATGATCTCACGGTTCACGAGTTCAAGCCCTGTGTCGGGCTCCATGCTGCTGGTGTGGAGCCTGCTTGGGAGTCCCTCTGTCTCTGTCTCTCTCTCTCTCTCTCTCTCTCTCTCTCTCTCTCTCTCTCTCCCTCCCCTGCTTGTTCTCTCTCTCTCTCTCTCAAAAAAAAAATAATAATCTTAAAAAAAAAAGAAAAGGTAAGGTTGACCTTTTTTACTTAGGAAAAAAGCGTGTATGATCATATTTGCTTGTATAAACTTACAATACTTATGGAAGGACACAGAGGAAACTAACCATGTTTGTTGTCTTTAGGAAGGGGAAGAAAAAGGCAGTTGGAAAAGTGGGAAGAAGACTTTTTAAATTTTGAATCTTTTGAATTCCAAAGAACATTTTGAACACTCAGAATGTTAAATTTAAAATATAAAAAGAATTATTAAGTGCATTGAATTTATTGTATCCTTAGCTTAAGCTTAATTTTGGGAGGTGTTGAAAATGACCTCAATTCCTTAGATAATGGATTCCTGTATTCTTTGATGATTCAACACTTTTAAATGATGCTTGGTAATTCAGCCACGTGGTTACTGTACTGTGTTTTCATAACCAGATGTTGTAGAAGATGTGAAAGAGGAGTGTCAAAAATACGGACCAGTGGTATCTCTCCTAGTTCCAAAGGAAAATCCTGGCAGGGGACAAGTAAGTGAAAGTTCTCATCGTGTCAGAATTATTCAGAGGTTACTAAAATTCTGAACAAATGTTTCAGTTCTATAGAAAGATGTATCCAGAAATGTCGCTAGAAATTATGAATTTTACATTATGGTTGGTCTTATTTTCTTACACTTTTCGCTTTTTTCCAAAAGCTCTTGCAGCATGTGTGCATTTTTTTTTATCGGTTAGAACTTTTTTCTTAAAAAGTACCATCTACTTGGGAGGCATTGTGAGCAGGGACACCAACTACATCGTATGCTGATTTAGGTCACGGTCAGCTACAGAAATACCGTGGCCCACTTTTGTTCCAATTAGGTAGAGTTAGGAAACCATTTATGTAGGTTAGGTTCTCACTGTAATGGAGTTGTTGGTGCTCATTGAAAGAAGAGAAGTTCACTGGCTGAGAAGCCTGAAATCTGCGTTCCAAGTTCAGCGTGACTGGCTTTGCGATGGGTCATCTGTAAAACCTGAATTTTAGACTCTGAATTTTTCAGCAACGATTATTAGAGAAATCTTTTGAAGATCTTTCTTTTGCTTTTCTGGAACAGAACATAGTTTTATTCAGGGTTTCTCTGCCTTGACACCATTAACATTTGAGCTGCATAATCCTTTGTTGGGCGAGCTGTCTCTTGCATCATGGGTATTTAGCAGCGTCCCAGCCCTCCACCCAGCAGATGCCATACCCCCCCGCAGCTGTGGCAGTCAGCAGTGTCTCTCAACATTGCCAAATGGCCCCTGCTGGCTGAAGACACCTCTGGTTTTGGATTATTTTATCTTTTGGTTCAATATTATGAAAATTCTTGGCAACTGAAAAAAGAAATGAAAGAAATTTCACTCTGATCTTAGTGAAAAGTTATTACCAATGTAGTAGTAACAACATTTACCTCTTTGAGTGTCCGGAGCACACTAAGTGCATCATTACTGTTTATTTAGTCAAACAGTATTTATTGAGCACGTATTATTATGTGCTGGGCCCAGGGATACAACAGTGACCCAAGCAGACTCAAGGATACATGGTGATAAGTGCTGTGGAGAAAAGGTCTAAGGAGAAGAGGTGTAAGGAGTGGTGTGTGTGTGTGTGTGTGTGTGTGTTGGGGGGGGTGCAGTTTTCTATCGGGTGGTACGGAGGGGCAAGCTGAGGTTACATTTCAGTTGAAAGACAAAGAGGGTAAGGAAGAGAGTACCAGATAGAGGGAACAGCAAGTTTCAGGGCCCTGAGATGCCCTGGCAGATTTGAGGAGGTTGCTGTGGCTCCCGCAGAGGGAGAAGGAAGGGGCGTTATGACACATCTGCCCGCAGAGGTGGGGGGTGCAGGGGCAGATCGGAGGCAGTGAGCCTCGTGGGCCTGCACACGACACCGGCTTTCACTCTGAATGAGAGGGGAAGGTCTTCGGAGGTTTCGAATTAAGGACTAACGTGATCTGACCCGACATGAACCTCAGTGGTCAGTATGAGATGGAAGACACAGAATAGCGGAACAGGAGTATTTATGGGTAAGGAGTACCTAGCTTTCAGTCAATACGGAAAACAGGTCTTTATCAGCGAGAGGAAGTATGCTTTGTTAACGAGCTCTGACATTTAGAGGAGAATAAAAACAGCCGATGAACTCGTGGAATCTCAGTAGAACCTTCCGTAGGTTATTGATATGTCTTGTTACCTGGTTGGCAGAGTCAGTCTTCATTCGAATAACCGATTCAAACTAACAATACTATTTTTTTTAAGAATGTTATAAAAATCGCTAAAAATAAAAATTAAGGAATGCGTCTTGTAATTAGAAAAAGTAGTCAAGATTAAATTGATACAATTATTTAATTTCATAGTAAAATACAAAAATGTTTTTCCTCTTCAGCTCGATGTGCTATAATGTGTAAAACTGGGGGTTCATCGGGGAGGCCAGGAGCATCAGAGAGAGCGAGACTCTCCTGCTGGGAGGGCACCCCTGCTCCCTGAATGTTGGTGTGTGGACTTGGGAGTTATTGAGAATCAGGTTAAAAAGATCTCAGAAAGAGCTTCATTGCCATTGCACATCATCTTTTAACTTTCTTTTGTATTCAGTGAAAAAGCACGTGTCCCTGGAGCTAACTGGTACTGGGGCACCCAGGTGGCTCAGCCCATTAAGCGTCTGACTGTTGGTTTCGGCTCAGGACATGATCTCATGGCTTCATGAGTTCGAGCCCCATATCAGGTTCTGTGCTGACAGCATGGAGCCTGCTTTAGAGTCTCTCTCCCTCTCTCTCTTTCTCTCTCTCTCAAAAATTAATATTTTAAAAAAAGGGAGTGAACAGTCACAGGCTGGGCATAGTGCTTTGTTTACCGATGAAGGAAGAGTCATTTCAAAAGTACTATGTTTGGAATTATCTCTTTTCGTGCTCCGGTGGTTTCTATACCCTTCCGAAGTAACTGTCACATGAGAGAAGGGCCCCCATGAAAGGGGAAATGGAAAAGGAGAATCTGCCTTGAACTTGTAGATGGATCCAATTGTAGGAGAAGGTACAAGAGAATGCTGAGGCTGGAAATTGGTTTTTTCACATGATCTATTTTTGGGTTCCCTTTGAGAGTCTGAGTGTCTAGGACGCTTGTACCCCAGTTTGAAAACTGCGGATGTAACAAATGAGCATGTAACTGAGGAGGATGAAGCCGTTCTTTTCTGGTTCACAAATCCATGGGTAATTGAGGACACGTCATTTCAAATTATTTCCCTTCCCACTAACTTTTGCTCTAGATCAACAGAGAGAACATAAGCTATGCTATGTCCTCTACCTGTCTCGGGGAGGAAATCAGAGACCTCGGGAAAGGAAATTACGTAGTTGTAAACTTCTCCGTATTGTAGTTACGGTTCTTACCAATGTTGGGCGGGTCTCCTGACAAGATTTTCCTCCTGCCGCTTCTAAATTTGCAGGTCCCCTTCCAGGTGCCACCTGGTCTCCGGGCTGTCTGGCCCTCTCTCCCACAAGTGTCTAGTTCCGTTCGCCTCTGAACACGGCAAACGGATGTATGTTTTTAACCCAGCTTGTCTTTGGTGGGTTTTTCAGAATGGAACTGAGTAAAGGAAGTATTCTAAACCTTGCTCAAAAATGGGGGCATGGACCAGCCACACTGGCATTACCTGGGAGTCTGTTTATTTATTTTTAAGTTTATTTTATTTATTTATTTTATTGTTAGGATTTTTAAAAATGTTTAGTTACTTTTCAGAGAGAGAGAGAGTGAGCGACAGCGTGCGAGTGGGGGAGGGGGAGAGAGAAATGGAGACCTAGAAACTGAAGCAGGCTCCAGGCTCTGAGCGGTCAGCACAGAGCCCGATGCGGGGCTCCAGCTCATGGGGTGTGAGATCATGACCTGTCAGTTGCTTAACCAACTAAGCCACCCAGGCGCCCCTTTATTTATTTATTTTGAGAGAGAGCATGCGTGGGAGGGGCAGAGAGACAGGGAGAGAGAGAGAGAATCCCAAGTAGGCTCTGCACTGGAAGTGCGGAGCCTGATGTGGGGCTTGAACTCAAAAACCATGGGATCATAACCTGAACTGAAATGAAGAGTCGGATGCTTAACTGACTGAGCCACCCAGGCGCCTCTGGGAGTTTATTTAGGAACGCAGAGACTTGGGCCCACCTTAGGCCTCCGGAAGCCACGTCCGCCTTGTAACAAGGTGGTACTGTGCGTGCCCTAGCGGGTGCGTGCGCATACCCACACGCTGAAGAGGCCCGGTGCTAAAGCAGTCTTGATGGGAATGAAGCCACTCTGTCTTCTGTGTCCTCTTCCAGGTCTTCGTGGAGTATGCAAACGCCGGTGATTCCAAAGCTGCTCAGAAATTACTGACCGGACGGATGTTTGACGGGAAGTTTGTTGTGGCTACGTTCTACCCGCTGAGTGCCTACAAGAGGGGATATCTGTACCAAACTCTGCTTTAATCAGTAACCTGAGGACTCTTTCCTGTTCCTCCTCCATCTCCCAGATCATTGTATTCTACATCTGAACGTGGAAGTACCCCCTTACCATTTTAAGGGAATACTTTCTACGTTTATTTAATCCTGCTAGCGTGCAGCCATTGCCCAAGCAGTGACTGCCGTGCACACATTTGGCACTGAGTAGGGCGAGGCCTCTCAGCTGTACATTGAGGGGCTTTAGAGCATCCATACGGGCAGACTTTTTCTGTGCAGTAGGCCAAGTGCTGCTCTTCAGTATGTAACCTAAAAAGATACTAATTATTTCACGTGATCATGAAGCCAGGGTGAATGATACCACGTCATAGTGAATATTGACAGCTGTGTTAGAGTTGGCGACATTGCTCAAAGATGATTCCTTTGTGTTGTCAGGTGGTTCTTCCTCATCACCTATACTCCCAGCCGGCACCGGGTGCTCCCAGTAACTGTTAAGTAATTGTCCAGCAGCAATTACCTACTGTGTTCTTAACACTGAGTTATGAATTTTTTTTAAAGGAGTACTGTAGTACTGAATATTCCTTTAAAGAAACTGCAGTGAGCCTATCTACTTTTATTTTTTTTCTTAATTAAGGCTTTTAAAATAGAAAGCTGATGCTTGATCTTGCACAATTTTTATGTCTAGTATGTATGCTTGAGCGCGTGTGCAGGTGTGAAAGATGAGATTTGAGTCGGCGTGCTTTCTAGCGTGAATCTTGTGAGCTGATACAGTCTGTACCTATCTCTTTCCTAGCTGTTCCACGTCTGCAGGATTAGGATACGTGTGTTTTGAGAGTCGACCTGTGTTTATCTGATGGAACGCGATTTCATAGAATGTAAATGAGAAATAGTTCATTCCTGAGAGGCTCAAAATATATGAGTCTAGACCGGATTAAACTGAAACTCTCTTAACTTGTAACGAAGCAGAAGTTTTGCTACACGTATATTGCCCCAGCCTCCAGTCTCCTTTAGAACCTGTATTAGCTCAGTCTTTTCTGTACTGAATCTCCTGTGATCATTGGAAGGTTTCTTGAGATCGAGTTCAGTTTACTCTGATGGAAATTGAAGTGGGTCAGAAAGAAAGAATTCGACGTTCAGTGAAGGGAAAGGAAGAAAAACAACTAGGCGAAGGGAGAGTGGGTAATCCAGAACTCCTGTTTTCCTTCCTCTCTTTCTCTGTCACCGCCCTCCCTCTACTGCTTTTCCTGTTCACTCATTCTCTGCCCGGCGTAGCCGAAGGAAAGCACGAGGGGCAGCCTCCCAGACGTTCTGGCTCTTGACTGTGGGGACGTTAGGAAAGGCATGGCTCTAATAACATGGAGGGAGGAAGGAAGAAAATAAAAGAATTCATAAAAGGGTTTACAGCAATCCGATGTGTCCCTGAGCCCAGGATGCTAGTGCGCACGCGTTCATGGCCGTGGGTTGATTACGTGGTTTTAGGAGTTGTAATCATGGAGTCCTCCCACGTCATGGTTGATTGACTTAAAGGTTTGAAACTTAGGGAATCTTTATAAAGCACTGATTGTACAAAAAAAAGTTATATACAGGTTATGAATTTGTTTCTTGTTTCCTTAACTAAATAAATTTAAAATTTTTTTCCTAAGGAAAAAGCCTTTAATACCTTTCCCTTCTTGGAAGCCGCCTCGTACAGTCCTTGTGTGTTATTGAGAGCCCAGCCAAGAACTTGCATTTTAGAGGATGGGTGGTTTTACCCTGTTCAGACACTTGCTATTTGGCATTTGAGTTATTTACAATTTTCATATTATCTGGGACTCTCCCTTAATGTTTATTATGAAGCCAAATTTGGTATAAGGAGGCGGAGTTATGAATTGCCCCAGTGCCTCATGGCATGATCCCCAAGGGAAGATTAAATTAGAAGGGTCTTGTATGTGCCCTTAGAAGCAAGATCTGTTATTTTTCATTTGGGCCATCTCAGAAAATGATTAGCTGGGTTGTTTTCAAATAAAAATTCAAGAGTATAACCAGTACTCTGGAAACCTAAACTTTCCTAGAGGGTAAATGCTTACGTGGATAGTGGCTTCCATGGTGGTGAAAAGCGCCGGGTCCTCCTGTACATACTGGTGAACACGGGATACAGAGGAATTCTTTTCTTAAAGGGCAGGCATCCCAGGTTGGCTGCGTACCTTTCTCATCCACCCTTCACCCTCACAAAGAAGAAACCCTTACGAATAAACTGCAGGTAGGCTCCTAAGCTTTGTGATGCCGTATGCTGCTAGCAGCTCAGTGCTGAATTCCACGGCATTCTTTGTCTTCTTCTTGCTGACATATTCCTACCTATGTGTAGTATTTAACACTGTAGAATTCTATTACAGAAGGTCCTACCTAGATCTTAAGGGGGCTGAGGACTAACTGATGAGCCTAAGTACCTTGCATTGAATTAAATATTTTATATTAAAGCCACGAAGTTGAAAAAAGATGCCTCCTGTGATTTAAATTGTGATTTTATAGCTTTTAGCCCATTACTACCAAAGATGACGTTTGCAGATTCTCCATCCCTCCTCTGATACTATAAGAAGTTTAATCTTACTGTCTTTCTCAAACCTGAACCAAATATAATCAAAAGATGCAATTTTTATGATACTTTTAGGATGAAATATATATACAGAGATTTTGATTCCTTGAAGTCATTGAAAACCTAGGAATTTTTCTTTTGAGAGGTAGGGTAAAGAGGTGAGGCTTTTTGTCACTTAAACCTTACTCTTTGGGACAAATTTTATCTCAGGTAGTTTTTCTTCCCCTAAGTTAATATCTGTGCTTCCTTACCTGTTGCCTTCCCATTTTCTCATTATTCTATGGTATTGTCATGATGCATTTTTGGCCCAGAAAAGACCTATTAACTTATTATTCTGTAGGAAACCTTTGGTTCTTTAGAAACATTTGCGGGAGGTGGCCAGGTAGCCACTTGCAGAACTTGAATGCTGCTTTTCTAGGAGATCAGGTGGAGTTGGACACCTCAGTAAAAGATAATTGGCTGCATTTTAAAGGATGATAAAACAGCCCCCCTCTTGAGATAAGAGATTGCACTTACTACCGCTGGATGTCTTCCCTTTTTTGTGGCTGGCTGTATAGCAAGTCTGTAGAGAAGTTCCCTCTCTGGTATGCCTTGAGCCCAAACTGGCTACTTTTAGAACAAAAACCATAAATACAGTCTTACTCATCCTTTCCCTTGTTTTCATTGAGACAAGTATTGCCTTCCGTTTGGTACTCCAGCTGCTCAGGCGTGCTAAGGTATGTTACATTAACCTTTAAAGAAAAAAAAATCCTTGAATTCTTATTTTACTTGCCTTCTAGATTCACGTTCCGTCTCCTGATATCTTAACTTCTGAGCGGGTCTGGGGTAAGGAGAGCTCGCTGCCAGAAGCCGCACTGCCAGGTGGAGGGAGTCAGAGAGAAACTCGGGGCATGAGGCTTGTTTCTGCTCTGTTGCGCTGGGCTTCCAGCCCTCTCAGGGCGCCAGTTACCCTTCTGGATTAACCGTAGTGGGCCTGGCACCTTTGGGTGTATCCATCAGACGCAGGGACCTCCTGCTTGGTCCTCATTTTTCTTCTTCGGTCTTGTGCTCTGAGTTTACTAGGCCTGTCTTACACCGCTTCTACCATCCGTCTCACTCAGCAGAGTGACATTTCAGTTGTCATCTATTAGGAAAATCAGCACCAGAGTCACTCATGGTAATTACAGTAACATAGTCACCGGGTGAGGGCCTGGGAGAGACACTGGGTGACTCTGCGTTTCACTAGAGTTTTCTGCAAGGGTGCATGCTAGGTGGCTTCATTCAGGTTAGGGTACAGATGGAATCGTATCGTGACTAAATTTCAGTCTGGTGGATGTGTAGACAGTCAAAGATTTAAGCAAGTGCCTTGTGTTTCCTGGAAAATGTTAAAACTCATTTGGGTGACAGCTCCCAGATGATGGTAATTTCTCGCATCTCTGCCTTTTCCGTGCAAGAGCTTTCGGATGGAGTCACATAGTACAAAAGTCCAGAGTTTCCTTGGTTTACCTTTTTACGTATGTGTGAAACTATTCGTTATTTGATTCCCCCCACCCCCCAATATCCCATATGATGGAAAGCCAGAGTTATCTGTCAGAATCTAATTCTTCCTGGGACCTAGTTCCATTTTTAATACTAGGTTCCTTCTTCAAATCTTAACTACTCTGACTCTCTGATATAATTTATTTATTTCTTGGCAAGTGTGGTCACATGCACACCAGCTTTTGGTCATGATTAGCTCAAAAGAATTTCCATTTCTTCTTGAGGTGCTCCACGCATCACCTTTACTTGAGATGGCGATCTTTCCAAGGTAGTGTTACTCGTAAGCTTTCTTCATGGAAAAGAAGATGTCGAGTCTCCATAATGTGGAACTCCTCTGAATCGCTTGGGGTGTATTTGGATAAGTTACTTTTTCTTAGTTACAGGGGAAAGGGTGTAGTTCTGTTATCAGAGTACCCGGAAATTTAGAGAATTTGTTTTGTTTAAGATTAGCTGCTTCCCCACCTGAGCCCGCAGGACGCCGTGATTTGTTCTCTTAGCCACCTCTCCCACCTCAATGTTTTTCACCGTTGTTTGCACTTGTAGGGTGGTCAGCTGATTGACACAGTGGCATGTAATCAACAGGTACTATGGCTATTTAAGGAGGTAAACAGTTTTAACTATTTTTGCTGCAATTTTTTAGGAGAAATGGGCTACAAAAGAAATATCTATAAAGTCTATAAACCAGAGAGCATTTAGGAAATTGTATATTTTATAGGTGGTAATCAAGGTGATCTTCAGGATATAAGATAGAGTTTATACAACTTTTGTTTTCCTGATGTAAAGTTTTTATTCATCTTGCTACATACAGCTCAGCACTTTTGTTGTTCCTTATATTGCTTATGAGGATTAATGTTTTAAATTTGCCCTATTTGTGCTTTTCAGAGAGTTGTCGTAATCATGCAGTTGTGTTTATATCCCCATATGTGCTGGGATTCGTGGGAGAAACGGATCAGATGACTGCCCGAGTGTTGTTTCCCATTCGCCATGGTACCCTGAAGGAAACTGGTGTGTGTTTTATGTCCTGGGTTCACAGTACTTTCATTTAGAGGCAAGAGAGGCATTCTGTCATACTTGCCTACCCAGTCGCTCATCTTTGTCGTGCAGAGAAGAGCTTATTCTGTTAGACTCATGACTGCCAGCATGAGGATTCTGTCTGGTCACTTCCCCGCACCGTGTGCGGTTCCCGCCCTCCTGGGCTCCCCTCCTGACTCGTGAAGTCAGGAGTGTGTTAAAAGCAGACGTGGTGAGGTGTCCTAAGTCACACGTACAGACACAGAATCTCTTCAGCTATTGGAATTCTGTATTGCCGTGTTATTTGTTAGCGTGAAATCTGCCGAATGTAAGAGCAAAGAAGGGAAAGAAAAGAAGGAAAATAGGTGAGGGGAGGAAAATGGCTTCCTTACTGGTGTTAGGAATCTCCCACGTAGCTCGTGATCTGGAAGTGACCATTTCTTTGAAAAATCCAGCTGTGGCGCCCGTAGTGTAGAATGGAACCTTGCCTTTCCCACACGTTCCTCACCATTGGCTCCCCAGAAAATTGTTTTTAGAGGTCATAAAACCAGATTAAAGATCCATATTCTGTTTGGCTTAATTTTTAAAAACAGATATTTAAACTCCAGTTTTTGTGCATCTGGTATAGATCAAGGATGTAGGAAAGGATCAGAAAGAACCTGGGGATTAGCCCTCTCCACATTTCCCTTTGCACATTGGGTACAGTGGCTGTTAGTATGCACCGACTGCAACGTTCTAGCACCTTATGGAAGTAAGTAGTGATTATTTATTATAATTAAAAAAAAAAGTTAAGCTGCATCTCTGTAGAATATTTACTTTGCAGAATGGGAAGCTGTTGTGTCTTTTCCAGCGGGATTTACTCTTTCACTCTTAAGTCTTTATTGAGAAAACCTTAAATGGTTGAACATTCCTTTACATCTTCTTACCAGTGTCAAATGTGGGGCAGAAGGGATATATTTTTCCCCCAAAGGGCTCCATCTTTGTTACCTTCTGATCACTCTTAGAAATCCAGTCATGATCAATAGATTTTAACAGTTGATGGCTTCCTGGATCAGCACTAGAGTGGTTGGTTTTGAAGATTAAAATCTACTACTCCTTTCCGTCAGAAATCTGCACTTGCTGTGTTTTTGGTAAGAAGGTGTGGTTGGACAGAACGGGAAAGATCACTCAAACCAAAGCCAGTTATGAGGAGGATTCTCTCCCGTTGGGTCACCTCCACCTCAGAACTACCAGGACCTTACAGTACGCGGGTGTAGACAGCCTGTGACACTTCTACCAGGTTTTCAGTAGCATCTTGGTCTTGGCATTTCCTGGCACTTTGGTTCTCTGTCCTTGGTGACGTCTTATTGTTTGTGAGTTTTTCTTGGTTGTTTTGTTTTGTTTTGTTTTTAAATAACTACCGGGACTATAAATGTAGATGTGTATCAGTACTGAGAAGTCCTTTTCTGAAATCCCTGAATTCCTGATTCCTACTCAAGTCTTTTAAACTTGTTTTTTTTTCTTGCTAAGTAGCAAAGAACTTTTCTTTTTCACTTTCCTGTGTACCTAAAGAGTATGGACGCTGCGTTTCAACGGACCGTATTGCGTATAGTTTTTTGCTGAAAACTTTTTCTGTAAACACAACTGCCTTGTTCAGTTTTGTTGTGAACCGACTCGCCGTAAGCTGCACTGTTGGTGTGCTTTCCGGTGTGCGTTTGATAAGGCTGATAAAATAAAGCTGAAAAGTCAAGGAATTGTGTTTTCATTTCAACGATTCCGCCATTTAGTGTAAATAGTCAAGTTTACATAATAGGTAAGTACGCCTGTGTTGTGATTGAATTTTTACCAGAAGCTACCACTGAAAAATTGCCAGGTAGCCCCAACCATCCATTTCTGAAGAATATAGCTTTTCACTTATGGAAGTAGAGTATCACATAGACGGTAGGGAAATGTAACTGTGTTTTGGAATAAATTGTTCTCGATACTGTAGAAACAGCCTCCTTTCCCGAAAAGAACCAGATTTCTTAGTTGGGGGATCTGTGTTCTGATCTTGGTTCTGTTATCAAGTTGGATGGCTTTGATCGAGTGACAAGTGACTTAATTTGCGATAGTAGCAATATTTTCATACCATAATTTTTATACTAGAAGCAAATGAAATAGTGGACTCAACAGTAATCCTGACCAGTCATTGATTACCAAGCATCTCCTAGGTGATGGTACTGCTTCAGGTAGTTTAGAGATGGAGCCCCAGGCCCACCTAGGTTACACAGACTTGGCTTCAGTTTCTCGGAAGATTTAGAAGCAGTAGTCACACCCTGCTCTGTCTGGGAGCAGCACCTTCTCAGGAAGCCTCCAGACTGGTCTGGTCTGGACGAGGAGTTCGAGTGAGAGGCGGCATTGAGAGGCACGCCCTACTAGATGTATAAGAGCTCAGACCCTGGGCGCCTGGGTGGCTCAGTCGGTGAAGCATCTGACTTCGGCTCAGGTCATGATCTCACGGTTTGTGGGTTTGAGCCCCGTGTCGGGCTCTGTGCTGACGGCTCAGAGCCTGGAGCCTGCTTCAGATTCTGTGTCTCCTTCTCTCTCTGACCCTCCCCTGCTCGCGTGCTCACTCGCTGTCTTGCTCTCTCTCTCTCAAAAATAAATAAACATTATAAAAACAAACTTTTAAAAATGAGGTGTTTTATTGTAATTTGTAGTTTTCTCCACTATTCAGCAATTTTTAATAAGAATTCTTGACTTACAGCTTGGAATGTGAGGGATTTGCAACACATAATTATTAACCCATTTTCAAAGGTCCATTTTCATGCACTATACCTAGTATGTATATTAGTAAATTATATCTGCATGTGTCTTATAAATTACATATAACATTTGTGTTATTTTTTTTAAATGTTTTTAAAATTTACTTCTGAGAGAGAACATGAGCAGGGAAGGGTCAGAGAGAGAGAGGGAGACACAGAATCTGAAACAGGCTCTAGGCTCTGAGCTGTCAGAACAGAGCCTGACGCGGGGCTCGAACCCACAAACTGTGAGATCATGACCTGAGCCGAAGTTGGATGCTTAATCGAATGAGCCACCCAGGCACCCCAATATTTGTGTTATGTTTTAACATCTTTATTTACATATGAAATAAAAATGATACGCAGATCAATTCAAAGGAGAGTAAGTGATGAAGCCTACATGTTTAAGTGCCGGCTAAGTCAGATGTCTCCCAGAGTTCTGAAGATCTGGCTGCAGGCTCTGGGACATGTACCTCTGAACAAACCTTTTCAGTTGAACTTGTAAAGCAGTGAGGTGCATTGATGTTTCTGTTGGAAAATACCAGACCAGAAGTAAAAGATAACTACTTTATAATGAGAACATCTACATTTTTAAGACCACGAACCTTTAAAGAGATCAGTGACAGAGTAAGGAAAATAAAGTTGAGATTTTAATAACCTTTTGAAGATGAAGTTATAAGAATTGCAGGGTATTAATTATCTATTTATTGAGATAGAGATAGAAAGGAGGAGCAGAGGAGGAGCAGAGGGAGAGAGGGAAAGAGAGAATCTTAAGTAAGCTTCTCACTATCTGCAGGATGTGGGGCTTGAACTCCTGAACCATGAAATCATGACCTGAACTGAGATCAAGAGCCGGATGCTTAACTGATTGAGCCTCCCCCAGACGCCCCATCAGAACAGCCTTGAACAGAAGCTCATTTAAACGAAGAGTTGGAAGGATAGTGCCAATTGACTCCAGATACCCTTTACCAATTTCACCTATTGTTAACGTTGTTTTATCTCTTGCCCTTTCCCATTTATACCCAGAGGTAAATGTAACCCTATTTCTGAACTCTTTGAAAGTTGCCGGTATCCTAACTTTGACCCCTAAGTCAAATACTTCAGTATGCCTCTCCTACGAGTAGACATTCTATAACCGTCATACCTTATCACACCCTCAGAATTTAGCATTCATACAGAAATACCCAGTGTACAGTTTATATTCCTTTTTTCCCCCATTGTCTCAATGTCAGTGTTCTAACCTTTTGCCCCCAAGCTAGGACCCAGGCAAGACTCTCTTGTCTGTAATGTCTGTTTAAAATTTGTACAAAGTCAGTGTTCCGTAGAACACTTTGGGAAAACCTAATTTGGATTGTATAACTAAATCTGTCCCTATTCTTGCAGTTTAATAAATGCCAACTCTTTAAAAGGGTGTCTTCTGGGGTGCCTGGGTGGCTCAGTCGACTGAGTGTCTGACTTTGGGCCAGGTCATGAACTCATGGTTCATGGGTTTGAGCCCCGCATCAGTCACTTGCTGACAGCTCGGAGCCTGGAGACTGCTTCGGATTCTGTGTCTCCCTCTCTCTCTGCCCCTTCCCTGCTCATGCTGTGTCTTGCCTCTCTCAAGAATAAATAAACACTAAAAAATTTAAAAATGTGTTTTCTTAGGGGGACAATATTGACTGTATATGTTGTCATTTGCATCTCAGTTACGATTGCAGACGAAAGCAGAATTAAAATTACCAAGTACCTGAACATGTCTGACAAAACAGTAAATTTACAAAAATTAACCAACTCTTTTCATGACGATGCACTGAAAATTTAATACATTCGTTGCTAACCACATACAGACCCATGATAGATTTTTTTAAAATATTTTTATTTATTTCTAGGAGAGAGAGAGAGAGACAGCGCGAGCAGGGGAGGGTCAGAGAGAGAGGGAGACACAGATTCTGAAATAGGCTCCATGCTCTGAGCTGGCAGTCAGCACAGAGCCCGACGCGGGGCTCGAACCCACAAACCTAAGATCATGACCTAAGCGAAAGTCGGATGCTTAACCGACTAAGCCACCCAGGTGCCCACCATGATAGATTTTTTTAAATGCTGCTGCTTATTACATTTTTTCATAGAAGTTCCTTGCTCAAAGAAAATGTGGAAAACAGTATGTTTTTTTCTGTATTTTATTTTTAAGATTAAAAATCTTTTAAAGTTTATTTTGAAAGAGAGAGAGCACAAGTGGGGTAGGGGCAGAGAGAGAGAGGGAGAGAGAATTTTAAGCAGGGGCTCCAACCCATGAACCATGAGATCATGACCTGAGATGAAATGAAGAGTAGGATGCTTAACCAGCTGAGCCACCTGGGCGTCCCCTTCCTGTCGTTTTACTGTGTCACTAAGTTTGGATCTTGGGGCAAGAAATGGTATATGTTTCAGGGCCCAAACTTCCAAAAAGATATTTTAATTGGGATGTGTGACTTTAAGAGGAAAGGGAAGGAGAAAGTAGGATCCAGCGAACCATCATAATTGACAAATGTCCTCATGATCGTTAATAACAAAATAAACTTTCAGTACACAGAGTTCCATGACCACTAATGTGTAACACATGGTTGGAAGTGATCCCGGACAAAACCCCAGAGCCACTGCTGATTTATGAGGTGCGGTAATGTTTTTGACTCAACGAGGCGTTCTGGTCCCCATTTGTAGTTAAACTAAGAAGTCATTCCCAGTTTCTTCAGCAAAGTCGGCTGCATGTCTGCCTTCTGGGAAGTCGCTGGTGGGGTCATCAGAGTTGTCCGCTCGTGGTTGGTTTTCCCCAACAGGAAATGGGAGGCATGAGTGTGGCTGTTGCTCATCTGGAATAATACGAGTCTATCACCTTGAACGTGGAGCTTCCTCTCTAATAATATCTGTCGTTACTCATTACTTCTAGTATTATTAGATTAATCGTAATGTTTATAGACCTGAATCATACTCAGTAATTCTAAGAGCTAGGGAAAATTCTGGTTTTAGCCACAACAGCCAAAGGGCCATTTCTTACTCCTTCAGAAATAACAAGCCTTTAACTTTCCTCTACAATCATTGTAGCGTCTAAATAGCTTTTGTTTTTTATCTCTTCCTCATGCTCTATCTAGGTGACCACAGCCCTTCTCATTTCAGCTCCAACTTTTATGCCGAACACAGGCAAGTATTTATTTCATCCCACGACTGACATGTTAAACATCTTACTAGATGATTCCATTCGAATGACTTGTGGATCCCTAAAATCTCGATTGGACCCAAACCCAATATGCTGTCTTTATGTCTGTATTACAAATAACAAAGTAGTAGAGTAGCTGAGGTAATAGAACAAAACCCAAAAGCATTTATTTAAGGCCACGGTTGAGTTTATGGAACACAAGGGTCACGACGTAGTCATATCTCACGCAGGCCATAGGAACCAGAAACTGGGAAGGAGCCAGGGCGCGCTCTGATTCGTTTCTTCCTCTCTGCTGTTTTGAGGCTGTGCCTGCCTTATTCTGCGCCTCCCCCTCCCCTTCCTGCTGGTGCCATTACTATACTGTTGTCCTTCCTCTGCTTCTCTATCCACTGATGGAATGTGGCTGCCCGCCCACCCGCAGTTAAAATTCCAGCCACACTTAAAAACTCTGGCTTTCTGTAAGTCCAGTTACAAGTTACCAGAAGACTGGCACAAGGTTTTTAAGAGTCCATTCTAGATCAAGAAGATATGGGGCGCCTGGGTGGCTTAGTCGGTTAAGCGTCCAACTTTCGCTTAGGTCATGATCTCGCGGTTCGTGGGTTCGAGCCCCGCGTCGGGCTCTGTGCTGACTGCCGGCTCAGAGCCTGGAGCCTGTTTCAGTCTGTGACTCCCTCTCTCTCTGACCCTCCCCTGCTCAGGCTGTCTCTCTCTCTCTCCTAGAAATAAAAAAAAAAAAAAAAAAAGAAGAAGATATGACCAGATAGTGAACTACACTCTACAAAGACTATTACGGAC